TGTACTACTAGCGTCCGCCGGAGCCGTCCTACAAATTTTGGAAGACTGACTTCGATGGTCTCAATCGAGCCGTCAGTGAAGTGAACTAGTCCTTGCCGCAGGATTCATCTCTTGAAGCCTGTTGGTCTGTTATAAAAGAGGGTGTGCAATCGTTGTGTGCTCGTTTCGTACCACTCAAATATCGAAAAGTTAGACCAGTGAAACCACATTTGTTCGACAGAGCGTATGGTCAGTTGGCTCGACGGCGACGCGTATTATGTAAATTCCGCGTGTCTAGCTCTTCCGACGATTATGAGGCGTACAAAAGGCAGCGGAATCTATTCAACAGCACAAAAGCGTGAAAGCGTCAGCAGTTTGTAGGGGTGCTTTCAACCTCAGCGGCGACGGCCCCCAAGACGATTTTTGTTTATATGAAGCGGCGCCTGCGTCCCGCAAGTAACGTAGCTATGTTAGAGGGCACTGGCGGACGGCTTCTGACCTCACGCACTGAACATACGTCCGCATTGGAGAAGCACTTCGCTTTCGTATTTACAAGTAGGCATGCACCTATGCCGAGCTGGATGTATGCAGCCCCTACTGAAGTCGAGAACCTGGATTGCGATGTAGATGTCTGCAATCTACTCGCCAGTCTTAACAGCACGAAACCTGCCGGACGCGGTGGACTTCACACGCTAACTTTACAGTTCTTATCGGCCATCATCTCGCCTGCCTTATCGGATCAGTTCAACAGGTCGCTGTACGAGGGTGCATTGCTCATCGAGTGGAAATGCCCCGTAGTGAGCCCGATTCCAAAAGCGGTGACCTACGCAATGTGGGCAAATACCGGCCGATTTTTCTCACCTTTGTTTTGTTGAAGGTGGTCGAGAAGATTGTGAAAAAGAGTCTTCTGCAGATGCTGGAGTTGAAAGATCTCCTAACGCCGGCACAGCACCACTTCCTGAAGGATCGCTCGTGCATCACCAAACTGCTGTTGAGGCAGCAGGAAAGGCTGCAGGCCTTGAAACGGGGAAGTCAATGGATGTTATCCACATTGATTTCAGGAATGCTTTCGAGAAAGTGAACCGTGAGGTCCTGCTCCACAAACTGAGGATGTGTGGTGTTGGTGGCGTACTGCACCAATGGACCAGTAACTTACTTATTGGGAGGAGATGGCGGGTACAAGTGGATGACCACCTAACAGACTGCCACCCCTCCAATATCGGCCAACTCCAAGGCACAGTCCTGAGGCCCATTGTATTCCTGATCCACGTAAACAAAGTGTCAGAGCGTCTTCGATCGTGTTGTGTACTGTTTGCAGACGACTCGAAGGTTTGGAGGATTATTACTTCTCTCGACGACTGTGACGTCCTTCAGCAGGATTTCGACCGCCTATCGCGGTGGTTTGCAGAATTTGGCCTACCTGTCAATCCGGCAAAGTCCTCGTTTAAGAACCTGGGGAGAGGTGGTAATGGGCGTGCTTACACCCTGGCCGACCAACAGCTACATCTCACCAGTTCAGCAAAGGATCTTGGCGTACGCATACTTTGTGATCTGAAGTCTGTCGACAACACAAACATACTGTACTACGCCTGCTTTGGGCATTTAAACACAGCTTCTGTACTTGATCTGAAGAGATTGCCACTCGTCTTTCCGCTTCCATGATAAGACCAGTGCTTGAATACGGCTCACCCGCCTATTGATTGATCACAATAGGTGAGGTGTAGAGATTGGAATGAGTCCAGTATGTACCTACCCGGCTCATCTCCAGTTTACGGGATATGTCGTACGAGGGCCGATGAAAGAGACTAGGGTGTTATACCCTGTCATATCGTCGACTTCGTTAATCTCATTATGAAACACCAGATAATGCACCTGGGCCACTTCCCTATGTTGAGGCAGATGCTACACGTTCGCGCACAAACTAGCACAAGCGGACCCCGGCACAAACTAGTGGTACCGGATTTAAAGCACATCGTTCACCCTCTACGTTTCGAGTGTCGAGCGGTGAAAATTTAGAACAAGTTGCCAGAGACGCTAATCGAGGCGAAATCGGTGTCAGAGTCTAAGAGATTCCTTGACGCCCAATTTGCGGATTACAGGTACGGGGAGCATATCGCACTCGGATGAGATGTAATGTAATTGCAATGTGCTGCCGCCGCGCAGAATTCAGCGACGTGACTCTGCGCATGTGCCAGATCAACCAAGGATGGAGCAACGCGGATGTTTATCTTCTCGTTCTCTATTCGTAGTATTCAGTATTCACGCTGAATGTCATCAGTCCGAAGGATGGAACCGGCCATCAGCTCACTTATGTCGTCTTACAGGGAGATTTTGTGCTTATCCTGGGTGTAGATTCCAGTCAGCAACTTGGTTTTGTTTCTTTTAATTGTGATCGCTTTGTGCATCTTTCGTCAATTGGCTAGAGATATCATTCCTCGTTATCCTAAGGTATTTGGTGAGGGATTATGGAGGTTCGACGGCTACGACGCTTTTGTTTAATCTCGCGATTTATGGCATTGGCGCGACCTCGCTCTGGTCCTGAATAGCAGTCTACAAAGCGGTTTGTTCTACTCTATTATGGGGTTGTGAAACTTGACCAAACAAATCACGGATGTAAAGAGTCTAGTGGCGTTCCATCACCGATGTCTTTTAAGTTTTGCTATGTGTGGTGGGGAGCGCATGAACAAAAAGCATGTTCGACGCATTGTTTATAGCGCAAGAAGGGTATATGAATTAGTTAGCACGATTACCTCAATCATTGGGCTCTGAAGAGTAACTCATGTGACACGCATGCTAGCACATGGACTACTGCGACCTGCGTTGTTTACACCGCCAGCGTCTGAGCGGCAGAAGAGGACAGGATGCCAACGGATGATTAGGTCAGGTGGAATGAAAGCTCTCGCTTCGAAGTTGGCATCAGTTGGTAACTCCCGACTCCCTGGTTTGGTCGCGGGCACTTGTTAACATGGACAGACGCAGACCTCAATGACCATCGTACCGAGAGTTCCTGTGAAATGTTACACGGAAATGTTACAAATTTTTCTGCCGAACATTTTCAAAAGCTGCTTCTTCAGCAACAATCCCAGATGGAAGCACAAATGAAACTGATTGAAAGTTTAACGCAGTGCTTAAACGTACAATCAAACGGAGCAGCTACGCGGGACACGCAGGCTGTTTCACTTGATCTTCTTACGAATTCAATCACTGAATTTCATTATGATGCTGATTCCGAATCCACTTTCGAGGCGTGGTTCAAACGTTGGGAGGATATGTTCCAGACGGATTTCAGCCGTCAAGATGATTCATGGAAAGTGCGCCTTTTGCTCCGCAAGCTGGGAACTAATGAACTTACAAGATTCCTTGACCACATATTACCCAAAGAGCCGAAGGACATCACTTTCAACGAAGCAGTGGCAACACTCAAAGAAATTTTTGGTGAGTCGACATCATTGTTTAGCATTCGCTATCAATGTCTAAAAATTGTAAAGCGTGATACAGACGATTATGGGACACTAGCAGACATGGTTAACCGTGAATGTGAACGTTTCAAGTTACGCTGTTTGACGGATGACCAGTTTAAGTGTCTTATATTTGTCAGTGCTTTACAGTCTCCATGCGACGCGGAAATCCACACTCGGCTCCTTGCTAATTTGGATCAAGACCCAGATTTGACATTGAAGTCTCTCGTACGCGAATGCAAACGGTTAATTACCTTGAAACACGGCACGGCTATGATTGAGCAGAGTCGCCCCACCATTGCCGATATTGTTCATGCTGTGCAAAAAGCAAGAAAATCTGGCTCGAATAAGTCGTTCATCAGAAAGCCGAACAAGCCACCTACACCTTGTTGATCATGTGGTGAATGGCATTTCGCACGATACTGTCCATTCAAGCGTCATATTTGTGATAAGTGCCATAAACGCGGCCACAAGGAAGACTTTTGCCATCAGTCCCGACCAAGAAATGTGAAGCAGTCCTACCGAAGGAAGAATTTCAGAAAACCTGACGCAGAATCACTATCGGTGATTGCTACGTTTCACAGCGATTCTAAAACACGCCGCCGATTTATCACTGTGCTTATCAACGGAATCCCAACCCGACTGCAGTTCTATACAGCATCAGATATAACGATCGTTTCCAAGAACACTTGGAAGTACATAAAGAAGCCGAAAATGATTGATTCCAACAAAATCGCTCACAATGCATCCGGTGGAGTGCTGAAGTTGGTCGGAGAAATAAATTGCAAAATTGCATTCAACGGAGTGGAAAGGCCGGAACCTGTTACTTGTCTGATCGACCAAATTTGAACCTCCTTGAACTTGACTGGATGGAAAAATTACAACTGTTTGATGTTCCCATGAGTCAGATTTGCAATACAGTACAAACCGACCTAGTACATTCATCGTCGACAGAAGAGATGACCAGAAAGCTAGAGCAGCTAGCTAAAACTTGTGGCAACTGCGCTACCGCCTCAAGGGCACCGCCAAAGACTGAACTCCGCTCATGGCCTGAACCAACTAAACCTTGGAGTCGTGTTCATGTAGACTTTGCAGGCCCAATCAATGGCCAGAACTTTCTCATGGTGGTCGACGCTTATAGCAAGTGGCCCGAAGTGTTCCTCATGAGAACACATTTCCCTACAGCACCATCACCATCATCTTAACGTTGCATAAAAACAATGAGTAACACCAATTTCGTTTTTGTTGTGCCTTTTCCTCATTCTTTCTTCTACTATTATGTAAGTAGATTGTTTTGCTGCACAGTAGCTGAAACATCTCACCATCAGCTAACTTCTATGATGACGATGCAGATCTGAAGCCCCGTCAATGCGTAACTCACTACAAAGTCTTGCTCAGTATTCATTTCCAAGCTTGGGAAGAGATAATTTCTACTTAGGTCTATGAAACTGCTTCTGTATTTCCTGGAAAAATGAGACGGGTAATAAAAGTGTAGTTTCGTATTTTGTTTTCTTTGAGACCGAATTCACTTCAGACATTAAACCACATAAAATGGACACTGACCGAGGCAAATAGACGGCGAGCACAGTCCAACATGGATCCTCGAATGTAGGCTATGGTCACGTTGACGGGGAAGAGTTGCATAGGATCACTGTGGTACTTAATCCTGGGCATGGGCTGTCCCGTGTTAGAACGGATGGCAATGAAGTACGGCACGTGCTCATCCAGTTCGTCGTCCCAGTTATTTATGGTAAGTGATCTAGCGAAAAGGCATTCGCGGGGATATGTTCGTGCCACAAGCTGGAGAACAGTGGAAGGGAAAGGGGAGATCAATTTCTTATCTTAAAGAAGGTCCATCTGATTTTACTCAAATCACTCTCGAATGATCGAAATCATCATACACTAGCAGAATATATGAAGCATACTTTACTTAAAGATAAGCAGGCGAAACTGAGGAGGTAAGTCGAAAGACCATCCTTTAGAGCCGAATGCTTATTAACTCAGCTTTAATGGATTTTTTATAGAATGAAATGTTTGTCTTGTCATTTTCTCATGCCCACTGCGTTGTATCCAAAATAGAGTAATACGAACGGTAAACAACACCATAACAGCGATTTGATATCAAAATGCCGACCCGCCCTCAAAGAAATGGAGATCGTCTATGTGATGAAATGGAGCGAGTTAAAAAAGGAATTTGATGGGAGAAAAAGCTGCCTCAATGCTGCCTGTAAAGCACAGCCTTTGGAAAGAGAAACAATAGGTTTTCCTGCGACCAAGCAGTACCTCCTTCATAATCAAAACATTCCACATAGTTTATGTCATTCCCTATACAGACCACTCATCGCATCGAGTGATGGCGTTTGGGCGACCGGAGCGTAATCAATAGGATCAATAGTCCCGTGAACTTTAGCGAGTAGATGGTAACAATTTGGGCCCATTCATGAGTTACCAGAAGCGCCGTGAGTTGCTGAACGCTGTTCTCCCTCATACTGACTCCTCTCCAAATAGTTAGTAAAGACTTTATTTCTCTAGTTCAGTAGTAGAAAGTTGGTACCACCCAGCCAGGTAGACTTATGAAACCGGTTATCAAGTCTATTCTTACCTGTGACCCTATATACAGGCCCGTAGTCTTTATCACTTGGGCATCGAAGGCGGTAATTAGATATACCCCGAAATCGTGTTATCTGAACTGTTTATAAGTGTACAGCAATCCTTACAGACACCGAAGTTGTCACTTTGAAATAGGTTCAGATAATGATAGACAATTTCTCGCTCGTTACGCATTCTACCTTACAGCTGGCACACATCGAATCAACTGTCCAGCAAACTAGTTAAGAAGTAAACGCTAGAGAACGAGAAGTGAGGTATCGGTAGGTGAAAATGCTCTGTTTCCAAAGGATGGTCTTCGGAAATAGTCAGATAGCATCCTGTAATTAACCAATGTATGAGCGATACCATGTGCCTCATACTGGTCCTCAAATCACTCATTAACCCTGGTGACAAGCGATACCCGCCGTGATTAGGAGGAGTAGAGGTATACGCTTCGGTTGACAGCCGCAACATCCATGGTCCGAGTCACAGCTCTGCTATCTCGGCTTGATAACTACAAGCGTATAAGAAACAAGGTCGTAGAGTGGACTACTACGAGTGGCTAAAACCTAAACTCCAATACTATTTTGATTTGTTGAAAAAGTCTGGCCGCTGAAGAAGATACAAGCATCTCATATGGTTCCATAAAAATCGTACGTTTGCTATGGTAGTGTCTAATGAGGCAACCACAGAATTACATCCTCAAAAATGAATACTTCGTCAACAGTTTCAAGCAAGGGTACGTTTGTGAAAAGTGAGTCCACGGCTATCGAGTACATACGCTATGTATGTAACGACATGTGGTCTAGTGCCTCGATTAATTCGAAGGAGTCTTTTCAACAATATTTAGTCAACAGCTTAAGATCTGGTTCCGACCGTTTCGCCAATTAACGAGCAATCTTATGATATGAGAGCTGTTCATGCACAAAATCGGTCGTAAGGGATTTCCTTTCTTGGTTATCTTCGGTGTGCCTCTCATTCTTGGGATCTCCGCTCTCGTCGGCCTTAGTTGCCGATACTGAGATTCGGAGATGTATCCATGTAACAAAAAGATGTGCAGTTTTCTTGCAACCCGCTTTTCTACCAGAAGATTGATGTCTACGGTGTTGTCCACTTAGTCCTTACCTGTATCTTCAAGAACTGATTCCAGCTTGGAGATAGTTTCAAGTCAAGAATGTGTTTTATGCACACTTGAAGGGTGAATATTCAGCTCAAACACACACACGCCGCGAAATGGGATAACTAGTGAATAGGGATAGTACATGCAGGTAAAAATAAAACTACGATCATTACACAGATTTTACAGAGAAAGTATCACTAGAGTAATTTGCTAAGCAGTTCTTGAATGAATGAATTTTATCGTTCGAGAAACGTGACAAGAAAAGAACAACAAATGTGCGATAGACCCTTGTGCGAGTGTATATAGTTTTGTAGATCTGTCTGGTTGATGAGGAGGTTGGGAAGCATTCGGACAAAGCCTTGTCCGTGAACATAATACCAGAGCCTTTATCCGGCTGTTGGAAGGTCACATGTTTCATCTGTTTCAATTCTTTAATCGGCTTGTAATACTCAGCTCCCAGGCAACACTTATCGGCGTGTTTAGAAATTGGTTGGCGATGTCCACCAATTTTTCACGATACCGCTCTGCTTCCTCAGTTGATCTCAGTGATAAATCGCTTAGTTGATCATAAAGTAAGCATTTGATCGATTGCTATCCTTGCGCTGCAAGTTAGTGATAGAACGCGTACGGGTTACATACTACCATGATAGTATCCAGTCAGGTTGTTTTTAAAGTTGATATGATAAATTTCTATCAGGAAACAAGTTACAAGTAAACAAAACCAGTCTAACTAGGATTGCATCTGCGCACATGGACGCCTGTCTTGAAGGTCAGTCGGCGCATTACATTGAGACACAAATGCGATTCGAGGGCATTCGTAAGCAGCTCTCTTTGGTTTGCCTCCTCCAGTTTGAAGCGTTTCCGGCCAAAATTCTGCGCCGTACGAGGATTAAAACATCGCACAACCTGCAGGGCTCTCTTGCAAGAGTGACCAAAGCAGCATTCCCTGAGGAGTGCATCAAACTAATACACAATAATTCATCGACTAACTTTCGCAAGAGCAGCTAGGAATTCTCTTACTAAGAATATCAACCGGATTAGTATACAGGCAAATTTTGAGCAAATAATGCTTATTGTTGATTCGGATATCTCCCTGGTTCTGTGCCGTTTCCATTTGCATTAACTTAAACTATGTCAAAAGCTTTTCCACAGTCTGTGTATTAACAGGTAAATCGAAGGGAAGTTATATTTCAAAATACGCACACCCTTTTTGGAGGGCCGCGTTCTGCTCAGCTGACCAACCACGACTCGAAAGATTCAGTTGAGAGGATTGTTGCAGGAGGTGTTTGATGTTTAGACTCATAATCGGAACGAAACGAACTTCCTTTATCGATAATGTCCAACTCTCATAATAGCAAAATAAGTTCAGATCTGTACGGTCTGTGTGATTTACTCGCCAGACGTTGCGTACGCGAGCTGAGGCCGGAGACAATACGCGTAGCCCTTACGACTGAACCGAGACCAGGAAAAGAAAGACTGGCTGCTTGCGAGAATTCGTTAGTTGACTAAGCCGGGGGCAAATGATGCCTTATACACATTCGTATTTATAGTCCATCAGTATAGTTACATGAGACGCGAACTATAGAGGTAGTAGGGGTTGCATGCTGAAAAAGCAGCAGACCAGAGCAGCACCGGAACATATATATGAAAAAATTGTCTGTCCATACGAGCGTTACAATTAAATCTATAGAAGTTCGAATTGCAATCAACCAAATGCAAGATCACATGACTAGGCCAACGAGTGCTAAATAGAAGTGTGAGTAGGATAAGCGAATCGAGGGCAAAAACAAAGCAGAGTATTTGAATACGACATTGTACCCTCGCCTGTTCGCAAAAATATAGGCACTATATGTCCATAAGCGATCTAAGGCAATGTCAGAACCCCGAAGAAGTGTCATGTGATGTTATCCGTCAAAGCGTATCGGTAGACAAGGCGGCGTATCCGACCGGAACGTCATAAGTTTGTATTAGCTTGTACCGATCGCTGTGTTGTAGATGTGTTCGTCTGTTTAATAGCACGTTGAGAAAGCGCTGTATGCAGCCGTCTTGCATTCACTTTTGTCCCATCAGCTAACTTGTAAGTCACTGGCGTGCACACAGATTCCACACGGGTCGGGGGTCCGAACACATTACCTCCTTTCCGGGAATAGGGTAGTCTCACACGAACAAATGGCCCTGCAGGATACGTCTCACAACACGTCTATATTTAGGCTGGTAAACAGCTCGTCTCTCGTATTCTCTGTGATCGGCGGTTTCTTCGGGTGTAAAGACCGCATTTAATCGAGTTCGAATTGTTCGCCCTAGCATTAACTCCGTGGGGGTCGTTGCCGTTTCAATATGTGGAGTGGTTCTGCATACCTCCAATGCAGATATCAACGCATCACCCCAGGATTCTCCCGAAAGCCGAAGGACTTGTAGAGATTCTTCTAAAGTACGATTAAGTCGTTCGACGAGTCCATTCGCTGCAGGAACATAAGATACAGATCTTAGGAATTCAGCATATTCGTTAATTCAAAACTGTGGGCCGTTATCAGCGACTATTTCTTCTGGCAAGCCGTAACTTGCAAACAAGCAACGAAGCCATTTTATGATGGTGGCTGTAGTTAGGTCCCCGCATAGAATAGCCTCTGGCCATTTGCTCTAGAAACAGGTAGCCAATCTCACGTTTCGCTTCTGTGGGGGTGCATTAGCAAACTGGCCCATAATATTGATGACAACTTTTGTCCATGGCTTCATTGGGTACATGATGGGTTGGACTGGAGCATTCAGGAGTCTCGCACTCTTATCGGATAGTTGGCGGACGTGACATTCCCGAATAATTGTCTCGACACTGGAATTCAGCTTCGGCCACTGAGGAGTGTCGTATCCGAGCTTTTGTTCTCACAATCCCTGGATGACCTTTATGCGCACATGCAATCACCAGAGGAATAAGGGTTGCAGGGACCGCAAACTGCTCGCCTCTAATAATGCAGTTGTCCACAGTAGAAAGCTCGTGCCGTAGGGTATAGTATGGAAGTAATTCAGGTTGGATCTTGGTACGACTGGGCCATGAAGTGGATATGTACTCCCGAAGCTTCGCTAGGACAGGGCC